CCAAACTGAGCTTCATGTGTTTAAATACTGGTTAGACTTTAGATTTTCCTCTTTTTTTTTTTTTCTTTTTCTTTATTCTTTGTTTTTTTTTTTGTGTTTTGTTTTTTGTTTTTGTTTAAGGGGGGGTAAGGTATTTAATTTTTTTTTTCGTAAATTTTTTTTTATTTTTTATTTTTAAAGTTTAACATCTTAAGAATATTGTGTCCAAGTTTTACATCGATCAGAGTGAAATTGACGAAGTTATGCGGAGTTGAACGAAGGTCGGTTGGTGTTCAATGCATGAGAATCACAAAGTTTAAAGCGCTCTCCTGAAAAATTCAATTTTTCAAATCGGTGTACACGATTACAGAAAAACTACTGGACCGATCGATTTGAAATTTGGCACACACATTCTTTAACTAATTCCCCAGGTATTCACGTCGGCCTTTTTTTAATTTTTAATTTTTATATATTTTTAAATTAAGAAATAACGTTTTTTTTTTAGTAAAAAATCGGGTTTTTGACTTTCAAATTTCCTAAAAAATCACAAAAAACTAAAAAAAAAAAAACGCTTCGTGAATACCTCGGGACACTTATCCTTTAACGAATGAGGTATAATTTTTTTAGATCGGATGATCCTGTGGACTGTTAGGATGTGCACCGCAAAACAACTTTTTTTGGAGGCGACTCTGGAGATTCCCTATAACTTCTCTACCTCTAAATATTTTTCAATACAAATTTTATCAAAAATTATTCAAATGTTGTGTTATTATATGGTATTTAATTCATAAAGCTAACTTTAGCCGTTCCGCCACAATAATTTTTTGAAAAGTGGCCTTTTTTGCACCGAATTAACCTTACCCCCCCCCCTTAAAGTTTTTTCATGTGGTTTACTATAACTAAATTTACGAAAATTAACGAAAATCAAGATTTTAGTCGAGGGATAAGTTTTTTTTATTATAAATCCTTTTATATATATATTTTTTATGTTTTTATATAAATTTGTCTCAGATCCGGAAAGAGTTAGTTTAGCTAGGGTGGCGCCCCTGACGCAACCCGAAGATCCCTATCATCCTACTTTCGATGTGACTATCGACTTGGGGACTGTTTCACGGAATAAATCTGACAGTCCAGCCCAAGAAGTCTTCTGCTTTAGCAAGACGGATTTCGTACGGCTGAATAATTTCATAATTAATTACAACTGGTCCGATCTTTACACATGCACTGACATGGCGGTAGCCGTGGGTATTTTTTATCGTGTTATGAATTCATTTTTTATTGACTGTGTTCAGTTATACTGTCCGTCTACATCAAACAAGCCTCCTTGGTTTACCAAAGAGTTGACCCGCCTCAAAAATAGAAAATCAAATCTATATGCTAAATATCAAGGTACCGGTTCTCCGATTGTCCTATCTAGTTATTTATCAGCTCGATCCACTTTTACTGTGAATAACGCACAGTGCTACAATAATTATGTGTTAAGCCAGTTTTTCTACCAGGTCCCGACGGAATACCAGGCTGTGTGCTTAGGAATTGTGCCAAAGCCCTGTGCAATCCACTTCTCAAATTGTTTACCTTATCCTTAGAAACCTCCCACTTACCCCTTATTTGGAAGGAATCATTCGTTATTCCTCTCCACAAAAAAGGTAGCAAATTGGATGCCAACAATTACAGAGGTATCTCTAAGTTGTCGGCCATCCCTAAACTGTTCGAAAATGTTATTACTCCTCATTTGCAGCACCTGTGTAGGTCAATTATTTCTCCATGTCAACATGGTTTTATTAGGCGAAGATCAATTACAACGAATCTGTTGGAGCTTACTTCCTTTATTATAAAGGGATACCGAAATAACTTTCAGACAGATGTAATCTATACTGATTTCAGTAAAGCATTTGACTCTGTTAACCATTCTCTTCTTGTTCGGAAACTCGATTTAATGGGATTTCCGACTGATCTTCTTAATTGGATCTCAGGTTATCTAAATGGCAGGACGCAGAAGGTCCTTTTCGAAAATAAACTATCTAATGTTTTAGGGTTACATCTGGCGTCCCGCAAGGGAGTCATTTGGGTCCCCTACTGTTTACGTTATTTATCAATGATCTGCCCGAAGTTTTGACCAACTCCAGAGTACTTATGTATGCTGATGACGTCAAGCTTTGTGTGCAATATAACGATGCTACTTGCCAATCAGACTTACAGACAGATCTTAACAATTTTCAAACATGGTGCTGCATGAACTTATTAAACTTAAACGGCTCTAAGTGCAAGCTAATGACATTCTCCCGTGTCACTCCTAAGCCTGCAACTATACGCTAAACGGCTGCTCTTTGGAAAAAATTAATATAGTTGATGATTTAGGTGTCCGTCTGGATCCTAAACTTGACATTATCGATCATATTTCGTGCATGGTGAATAAAGCCAGGGGTGTGCTTGGTTTCATTAAACGGTGGTCGAAGGAATTCAATGACCCCTATGTTACAAAAACGTTATATACTTCACTTGTTCGTCCTATCTTAGAATATGGATCCTGCGTTTGGAGCCCTCAGTATAGCGTCCATAGTAAACGCATAGAATCGGTTCAAAAGAACTTGTTACTTTTCGCTTTACGCGGTTTAAACTGGGATGCAAACCAGAGGTTACCGTCTTATTCTAGTAGACTCTTACTAATCAACTTACCCTCCTTATCTGATCGTAGAACCATGCTAGGTATTACATTTTTACACAACTTAATCCGTGGTGACGTGGAAAGTACTGACTTGCTCGGTCAGCTAAATTTTCACGTACCAATAAGAAACACCAGATCCTTTTTACTATTAGTTTTGCCCCACTGTAGAACATCCTTTGAACTGCATGAACCCTTTAGAGTCCTCTGTGCAAATTATAACGATTTGTACACAATAATATCTAACGTTGATAGCCTCCCAAAACTAAAAACTTCAATCTTAACCCACTTACGCATGCAAGCAACCAATCCGGCAGTACGCCAGTAGTAGTCTCCCCGCATCCTTTTTTTTTTAAGTCCTTCACGTTTACTAATTGCTAACAAGAACAAGCACGTGCTTGGTGTCGCAAGTTCCACTTGATATGTACTGTACATAGTGCATCAACGTCTTGCATTAAAAAAAAAAAAAAAATATTTATTGTTTATATATTTTATTTTTCCTTTTAATATATAATGTTTGTACAAATAAATCATATATCATACATATATTTTTTCTATTTTAATGTTTTTAAATTTTTGTCTTGTTTTTTAAATACTTTTTTAAATAATCAAAAAAATATTACAAAGAATTTTAATTATTATTAATAAATAAAAAAAAAACACGATACTAAAAACACTGCCATTGTCAGGGATCGATCCACTCATTGTTATATCGCCGACCCGCGCTTCAACCCAGCACGACCATAGCACCGTTATTTCCAAAATATAACTAATGAACATACAATAAATGTTGTGAATTAATGGACACTTTTGCGACGTTAGTATGTGAAAGAAGGAGGATGATATTAAAGGATTGTGGGATTGGGGAATCCTGCCATTCAATGCGCATTCCTAGTGCGATATATTTCTGTTCAATTTTGCAATTTATTTTTATACCCTTGCAGGGTATTATAATTTCAGTCAGAAGTTTGCAACGCAGTGAAGGAGACGTTTCCGACCCTATAAAGTATATATATTCTTGATCAGCATCAACAGCCGAGTCGATCTAGCCATGTCCGTCTGTCCGTCTGTCTGTCTGTCCGTCTGTCTGTTTCTACGCAAACTAGTCCCTCAGTTTTAAAGCTATCTGAATGATACTTTGCTATAGTCTTCTATATACTCTCACTGCTATATATGTCGGAACGGGCCGGATCGGACGACTATATCATATAGCTCCCATACAAATGTTCGATAAATTTTTAGAAAAAAAATTATAACTTGGCTGTTTTTCAATATTTTTGCATCATTTTTGAGACATAGCCATTTTATATTATTTCAGAATTTTGGTAAAAATTTTATAAAAATCGAACGACTATATCTTATAGCTGCCATAGGAACGATCGGCAAATGAATAGGAAAAAAATTATAACTTCGTTGTTTTTCAACATATTCTTATCTACTTTTAGATATAAGCTTTTTTTTTTTATTATTTAAGAATTTTGGTAAAAATTTTATGAATATCGGACAACTATATCATATAGCTGCCATATAAACGATCGGTAAATGTAGAGAAAATGTAAAGCTGGGAATGTAAAACTGTAACTATCAAACTGTAAACATAATAAGTATAGGTAAAATGTAATGAAACTCTGTTTTGTGTTTGTTTTCAGCATTTAAATCTATAATATAAACATCAAAACCAATCTGCAAGGGTATACAAACTTCGGCGTGCCGAAGTTAGCTTCCTTCCTTGTTCATTAAGAAATTAGTCATTTCATTATTGATTAACAACCAAACAATTGTTGCCAAAGACATTACTTGTGTGCGTCAGTTTGACCCGCAGAAACTCGCGCTAGCGGAAAATCATCAATGCATTTCCCTTGGCCATTTCTAGTACTTCTACGACATTGAGGTCAACTTAATTGCAATGCACAAATGGCTGACCAAAAGCAATGGGATCAGAATTGATGCAGGAATATGCGCATTTATTCCAATGGTTGAAGAATTTTGCAATTTTTTTTACCTATATTCTCTAGGCAACTGAATATTCCGAAGCATTTGAAAGACAATCTAGATATTTCCTCAATATTTCTTTAAAGAGGTCTTGGGGTATTTTCGTTGGGGGGCCTTTAATCCAGACAAGACACCCCAAATTACGGGGTATAATAATTGTGTTTGCTTAGGAGGTGTACGAGTCAATGAGCTGACACAACGAGGGTCTAATTGCGCGTAAGCAAACAAACAAAATTGCAGGTGTCAAAATATAATCGAGTGGGGGAGGGGCAGTTTCAGATTCGAATGGAAATTGAATCGGGGGAGATTTATAAAGGATACTGCTCGAATACTTCACGAGTCATTTGAGCTAACAAAACGGTGGCGAATGGCGGCGCTTGCTTCGCTTTTCCTGAAATTCCTTCTGCAAAGTTCGGTGGGTCAACCCATTCCGGATGGATTGCTGACGGAACCCATCAGGGACTTGCCTCAACTGGAACTTTGGATCCGCGAGGGCAAACAGCAACAAGATGCGGATAATCCGTATGTCCAGTGGTTCCTACGTCGATCGCAAAAGCCCTTGTGTGTCGTGGCGTACGAGGAGAATCAGGATTGGATTGGGGACCCATTCGGGAGGGATAACCTGGCGATGGTGATGAGTTTAAGCCATCTGACTTCCAATCGCGGACCAGCTGCGCCTAATCAGAGAGCGGGTGTATTCTTTTATATACTAGAAGACCAGACGCGGGACTTGTCCCTCGAGGAACAACTTCTCTTGGAGAATTGCTGCCGTACTTTGTGGATGATGCACAAAATATATAATCGCTTCTTTTTAACCGGACAGAGTGTTTGGATCTATAATCCCTTCCAGCGTCGTGGCTTGGCCTTTGGACGATTAGTTCGATATTTTGGAACGGAACCCTTGAATAAACTGCTTTTTCACGACATGGGTGGCTATCCAATGCGGATTCAGATGTTTAAATCAGTGTATACGCGACCGGAAGTGGACAAGGAGACTGGCTTGCTGGTGGGTATTACAGGAGCGGACTTCCTTGTGGCCCAAATGCTCAGAGAGCGACTGAATTTTACCATGTTATTACAGCAGCCCGATAAAAATTACTTTGGGTGAGTACATAATACATACAGAAAAGAAAGTGCCAATCGAGAATGCATGTACCAAAAAGAAGGCGAAGTCTCAGACTCTATAAAACACATATAGAATTCAGTCAATTCTTCTGTCCGTCGTTCTGTCCGTTCCATTTATCAGTAATGATGATGTTGCTGATAATTCATCAATGAAGTTCCATACAAAATGAATGATGAAATTGACATTGTCATCAGTGATAAATTGATCAACAATTAATTGATAATTCATTCAGTCTTCAATGCTTTGTTTTTGTTTAGCATATATATTTATACCTACTATTTTCTATTATATAAGATATTGCAAATTGCAAGGTATACAAACAGCGACGTGCCGAAGTTAGCTTCCTTTCTTGTTACTAATGAAAGATCGACTAATTTTCGAGTCGATCTAGCCATGTCCGTCTGTCCGTCCGTCTGTCCGTCCGTCCGTCCGTCCATCCGTCCGTCTGTCCGTTTCTACGCAAACTAGGCCCTCAGTTTTGAAGCTATCTGAATGAAACTTTGCATATATTCTTCTATATACTCTCACTGTTATATATGCCGGAACGGGCCGGATCGGCCGACTATATCATATAGCTGCCATACAAGTGTTCGATAAATTTTTAGAAAAAAAAATTATAACTTCAATATTTCTGCATCATTTGTAGATATAGCCATTTTATATTATTCCAGAATTTTGGTAAAAATTTTATGAAAATCGGACAACGATATCTTATAGCAGCCATAAGAACGATCAGGAAATTAATAGGAAAAAATTTTAACTTCGTTGTTATTCAACGTATTTTCATCTACTCTGAGATATGAGCTTATTTTATTATTTTAGAATTTTGGTATAAATTTAATAAAAATCGGACAACTATATCATATAGCTGCCATATAAATCGATCGGTAGATGTAGAGAAAATGTAAAACTGGGAATGTAAAACTGTAACTGTCAAACTGTAAACATAATAAGTATAGGTAAAATGTAATGAAACTCTGTTTTGTGAGTGTTTTCAGCATTTAAATGTATAATATAAACATCGAAACCAATCTGCAAGGGTATACAAACTTCGGTATGCCGAAGTTAGCTTCCTTTCTTGCTTTGTGTAATATTACCTGAAAGTCGAGTTGTATGATGAAAAAAGTTAAACGTTGAATTTGTTATTTTCTAGCGGTGTGCGTTCTAAAAATCGGAATCGACACGTTGATGAAGCGTTGTTGATGGCATGTGGTACTGCAGGGTTACCATGTTTCAATTTTTAAGTTATCTGAATAAAACTTTGCAGAAAGGGCCAGACTAGACGACTTTATCATATAGAGAATAAATAAAACGAATAGAATACAACACTATAATAAAATGCCCTTTTTAATGATTATGGAATGACGGTGTTATAAGAAAGGTAGATCATTTTATTTAAGAGCTTAGGAAAATAAGGATATTTTCTTTTTTATTTGTCAGAAATGAATCGATTCTCCATGACGCCATTATAATTTGCAAGGCTATATAAGCATCGGCGTGCAAAAGTTAGCTTTCTTGTTAAACTAAATATTTAGTTGATACCGAAATACCACACCTTATATGCACGTAAAAGGCTACCGTAGTATAAGTATTAAAATTTTCGATATCGAATCATATATACCTTACTCTTATTTGAATTGCACTGTTTCATATTTTCAGAGAGCGCAATTCCAATGGAACATACAATGGCGCCATAGGATCGATCATCAACGATGGCCTGGATATCTGTCTTACGGGATTCTTCGTCAAGGATTACCTTGTGCAGCAGTACATGGACTTTACCGTGGCCGTCTACGACGACGAGTTATGCATATATGTTCCAAAAGCGAGCAGAATTCCACAATCGATTCTCCCGATCTTTGCTGTGGGCTATGACATTTGGCTGGGATTCGTTTTGACCGCATTCGGCTGCGCCTTGATTTGGCTAACTCTGAGGGCTATCAATCTGAAGCTTAGGATTGTGCATCTTCGGAATCGGCGCTTGCTGAAACAGGCCCTGGACATAGTGGTTGACACCTGGGTAGTTTGGGTCCGGGTTAATCTATCTCATTTGCCGGCGAGCTACGCAGAAAGGATGTTTATCGGTTCCCTGTGCCTGGTCAGTGTGATTTTCGGTGCCATTTTCGAGTCCAGTCTGGCCACAGTCTACATACATCCATTGTACTACAAGGATATAAATACCATGCAGGAGCTGGACGACAGTGGCCTGAAGGTGGTCTACAAATACACATCCATGGCGGATGATTTATTTTTCAGCGAGACCTCCCCGCTGTTTGCCAGTCTTAATAGTAAGTTAACCTGGAACCGCAACCTCCACGCCGATGTAATCGAAGAGGTAGCAAACTATCGCGTCCAGGCCGGGGTCTCCAGATATACGTCTCTGGTGCTCGAGTCCTCTCGCTTCATATTGCTCCGCCAGATTTGGGTGGTTCCAGAGTGTCCCAAATATTATACGATTTCGTATGTGATGCCCAGGGACTCTCCATGGGAGAATGCTGTGAATGCCCTGCTCCTGAGGCTTTTGAGCACGGGCTTTATTGTTAAATGGATACAAGATGAGAAATCAAGGGTCGACATTAAGATGCGACTCAGTATCCTAGAGGCTGAGTCTGAGTCGGATCTCCTTCGGGTCTTAACTATTCGAGATCTTCAGCTGGCGTTCTATGTGGTTCTTGGGGGAAATCTGCTCGCCTTTTTTGGCTTCATTGCAGAGCGAAAACTATTTAGAAAGTAAGGTTAACTTTAACTTTAACTTTAACTGCTGCTTATCATAATTTCAAGGGGATATATAAATATGTGAACGGTCAAAACTTTTTACCGTGAATTTTTTTGTAGGAAATAGTCAAGCAATCATCATGAAACTTTGAAGATAGTTACAAATTGAATCGGAGATAATAAAAAAAAAGTGTTACTTATAAACAATATTTTACAAAATGAGTTCCCCGGCTATGTACACGATCATCTCGTAATTTCTGTCGGAAATTCGCAATCGAAATATGTGTTTATTATACGTTATCTTCTATTTGAACCTAAAAAAACAATAAACAAAAATTATGACAAAATTTAATTCAGTTTCGAAGGAAAAATTACATTTTCAGGAAATTAGATTTAACTTCCCACCCTCTTAAAAAAACAATACTCAGTTTTATTACCCCCTTTTGGTTCAAATAGAAGATAATTTCATGCTGATCATAATCATTTTTTTATTCGCTCCGATATGTTACATTGTTTTTTGTGAATCGTGTCCATAGCACAGGTAAAAATGCAAAAATTAAAAGCTGAGAAAAAGGAGCAAAGGATGCGCTCACGTTAACACTTGTATACCTTGCGTTCGTACTTGATTTGAGGCACTTAGAGTTGGAATTTAATAATAATAGTATATTCTCAAAGTAATAAACTATTTTTTAAACAAACGAAAATTTCTACAAATATCCTTGATCAGCATAAACCGCCGAGTCGATCTAGCCATGCCCGTCTGTCCGTCTGTTCCCCCCGTTTCTGCGTAAACTTGCCCCTGAATGAAACTTTGCAGATGGTCTTCTGGCCATTCTCACTACTATATACATATGTCGGAACGGACCGGATCGGCCGGCTATATCATGTAGCCCGTTCCGACATATGTATATAGTAGTGAAAATAGTGAAATCAGAAGACTGTCTACAAAGTTTCATTTAGATAGCTTCAAGACTTGCGTAGAAACGTACAGACGGACATGGCTAAATCGACTTGGCTGTTGATCAAACATATATATACTTTATAGGGTCGGAAATGCCTTGTTCACTTCTGACTTAAATTATAATACGCTGCAAGATATATGTAGGATTGGTATATTTGTTGAAGAGTATCCCTAGTGTATTTAAGTATATCCTTAAAGTTTTTTAGTATTTAAGTAATCCATTAATGTAAGATTAGTATTAAGGTTCGGGATGGCATGCTTTATGAGATGCGGGCACACTTTAGATAGAATAAGAGCTGAGCGGTTGTGAAGTTAACAAGTTGGAAGTAAAAAGCGCGACATATATGTAAATTGTTTAATCGTTAAGAAATTCAGTTAATAATAATAAATAAACATTTGTGGGAACTCAATAAAGCTATAACCCTACATATATAACCAGTATATTTAAGTTGCACTAGTTTTGTTAATACGGCAAAAAAAGTGCCTGTGGTGCCTGGATTTCGATAAAAGTTATAAGCAAACACTACACTTACATGTTTTGTTTTTATACATACGTTTGTTTAAATGTATACACTGATAAAAAAAAACAAGAATTTTGGTCATAAAAACGTGATTTTTCGGTCACGAAAATGGCTTAAGCATATTTTGGTCTTATTTGGATATTTTCGGTCATCTTTTAAGTACTTTTTCATTCTACATTTGAGATTTTTCAAATATTATTTCAATCCTTAAGGGGGTCTTCTCATTCAAAAGCCGTTTTTTGGACCCTTTTTAAAAAAATTCTTATTTGAAAACGCAAAGAATAATTTTTTTTTTTTTTTTTTTTTTAAAAATAATGAAATTTTATTTGACTAGTGCACTGTTACCTAGATATTTGGCAACTAAACCTAATTGGAAGTTAATTCTATGTTTACAATGCTTTGTTATGGAGGAGTATTAAGTTAAGTTATGTTTACATAATTTGAAATGATTTTCATGTTTTGTCTGATATTTTATGTCAAGATCCTGTCGGGGAGGTCTTGAGGGTGGTGACGTTTAAGTCTTCTCCTGACTCGTGTTCTGTGTTCAGCGGTGGCTAATCTTCTAGCCAGACTATTAGGGTGATTGTTAAGTTTTTCCATGTACTTAGTTGAAATAGTGTGAAGTTTGTCTCCAAGCTTGGGCACCTTTAGGTCTCGTTCAATGTCTCTAGTCCTCATATACCATGGAGCCCCAGAGATCCTCCTTAATGTTTTTGCTTGAAGAATCCGTATCTTGTTCAAATGACATCTTGCAGCAATTCCATAAACTTGAAGGCCATAAAACAGGGAGGGGGCTAGTATTGACTTATATATCATGACCTTGGAGTAAAGCGATAGTTTGTTGCGGGGTGCCAGGAGCCATGCCATCCGGGAAACTTTAGCCTTAAAAGCATGCTGAATGTTCGCAACATGCCTGCCGAACGTAAGTTTACGGTCCAAGGTAACGCCAAGGTATTTATAGGCTCTATGGTGGTCAATGACTCTACCATTAAGACTGACCCCAGGACAGCTAGCTGCACGGTTGGTGAAAGTCACATTCGCACATTTGTCCGCATTGATGCGCACAAAGAATAATTGAAAACTTTTTTTTATTTATTGTATTCAAAAATGTTCAAAGTAACTAAAAAAGTTGTTCTTGCCTCGATACGAGGGTTGTTCAAAGAGTAATGAGACTTCAAACTTGGTGGTCGAAAAAAAGGTGTCGTCCTGGCGGCCATGATTCAGGGTCTCCAGAGCGTCCGAAATGAAAAATAAAAACGGGGTTATAATCAGAATAGATGTCATTTTCGGCTGACGGAACAGATTTTTTTTAAACATTTTAAAAACAAAATGGCGGCCATTCAAAAAAAAAATTTCTTTTTCGGGCTTTTTTTTTGTAGTTTAGTGTAAAAAAAAATATAAAAAAAAAATTAAAAAAAATCTGTTCCGTCAGCCGAAAATGGTGACAATTCTGCGTCGATTCCACTTTGTTTCATGAAAATCGGTTCAGTTGAACTGGAGATATCATGGCCGCCAGTTCGAAAAACGTGGTTTCGAGATAAACTCGTTTGAAGTTTGAAAAAAGCTCATTTTGCATAGATCTTGCTTCACAAAAAAGGCAGTATCTTCTAAAGTATTTCGAATTTCTAAAAATCCTTTTGGGGACATATACACACCATCCCAAGCTATAAACAAATGCAAAAAAAAAAAATCGAAAAAAAAAGTTGCCCAATGAGAAGACCCCCTTAAAAAAGTTTAAAAAAAGAACGATAAACGACCGAAAATCTTAAAAAATGACCATAACAAGGCTTAAATTAAAAAAAAAAAATTTGTTTGAATCCTAACGAGACCGGCCTTAGTTAATACTACTAAACATTCGTAATACCAAACATTTTAAATTAAACATTATTGTGAAGGAATTTTTATAAACTGTAATTATAGAGCTAGAAATGATTATTATTAATTAAATTAGTATTAGAAATTTTATTAAAAGCTACTTACATTTTTTTTCCCGGCTGGGATCCGAACCCATGTCTCAAAATTTACAGACCGACCGCTTACCAACTGGGCCACTGAACGTGAATACATACAGTTCCAAGGACAGAGAAGACAAAAAAAAAATGTATCTCCCTCTCTGAGCTAAAAATAGTTTTTTTAAGAATGGTCGTAAGAGCGAGACGGCACTATGACTTCCATTTTTATGTGAGAAAAAAAGAGACAACACTAGAAGCCGTCTCTTCTGAATTTTTAAGATTAACAAAAATCTTAATTTACGATTTTTATTTCTTAAAATGAATCATTTTCGGTATTACTTTATGATTTTTTCTTCTTCTTATTAGAATATTTGGTCTTTTTTTAAGATTTTTTTTTAAGAATGCCAAAAAATGTGCAAATCTTAAATGTAGATTATTTTGTTCGTAAATATACTTTGAAAAATCTTCTTTGTAGTATTTTTGGTCTTATAGTAAGATTTTAAATGAAGAATGCGCAAAATCTCAAAAGAAGATTTTATTTTTTTTATCAGTGTACGTTGAATATTTTTCTTTCCTTAAAAACATATTAAATATCCTATTTATATTTTATTTAAACAAATGATGATATAGGATATAGGTATCATCATTTGTTTAAATAAAATAGAAGGGATGTAAAAAATATATCAAAATTTAAAATATATCGATATTTTTGTAATAAAAATAAATATATGTATCGTCATATTTTTGTTACCTTATATATCGAATGTATTTATTTTGATACGCTTGCATGGTATTATAATTTTAGTCAGAAGTGTGCAACGCAGTGACGGAGACATTAAGGAGTCATTTAGAAAATGCTTCGATCACAAAATAACATATTGGGTGGAGCGACCACCCATGGAAAGTGGGGTCATTGGTCATTTTTTAATGAAAAGGCATTTTGAATTCAGCTAAAAATAAACGAACAAATTTGTCTGAAAAAGGGGCACCATAGGAGAACGTATTGAAAGATACATATGTAAAATACCGAACGGAATCAGGCACGCGCGCTCATTGAGAAGCATCAAAATTTTTGGTTTATTTCCAGCTCATAACTTTTGTTTATCTTTTGCTGCTTTTTTGGGTCTGCTGCTTCTTCTTGCTTTCTCTCTCGCCTGCCCTGCATTTTGTTTATGTCCGCTGCCGCGTTCGGTTCAAAAAAGTCCAGAAACATCATACAATTTCGCGAAATAAATCTTCAGTTTTTTGTGGCTTGATTCAACAATTAAATGTTAAAGCGAATAGCTCGCAGTTGGGCAAGCTGCTTAGTTTACATACCAAATAAATCATCCCAAATAACATAATTCAGAAAACATAATAAGTGCATCGCCTGAACAAAGCCTTATATTTACATTGTTTGTGTTTCCCTGCCGCTCTTTTGTGTACTAAAAAGAAAAGTACTTGAGAAAAATTCCATAAGTTCGTTTGTGCATGCCGAAAAAGCCCCAAACTCCAACCAATTTATAATCATTTCGGACCTTATGAGGTATCAAACAAAACACCCCTTAACAAGGTGAGTTAAAAGTGACTACCTAAAGCGATTAATATTAACATTTACCAAGCGATATTCAAAGACTCTTGCAATTGGAATTTTGTCTATTGAGAATGAATTCATTTCGTTCAGATAAAAAACCGTACAGGCAGATATAAAGCATTTCTATACACAGCATTCTTTCCGATTCTCCTTAATTTGTATATAAAGTGATTGACATCCTCCTATATCATATAATAATT